AGCTAAAGCCAGTTTATGAATTATGATGACTGAGAAAAATAAAATGTGAAATAAACAAAACATCAACAAAAAAACTCTTTTTGTACTGGATTTTGCACAAATTATTGGTATTATTTTCTATTTTATCCTTATTATTGGCATTGTAGATGATGTTATTACATATATTATGTTTTTTGGCATATTTGCTACTATTACGCTCAAGTTTGCATGCACTCCTACCAAACTTAGTTTGATTATATCAATACGCCAAAGATGAAATTAACGAGCAACAAAACTGTTGGTGAAATTTTGTGTGCACTCATTTTACGGTTAGATTTTGACTCTGATGAATTGGGGCCAAAACCGTAGCTGTTACTACAGCATGTTTCATCAGCAAAGGCCTCCAAAAAGAACCATGACTGTGGAAAATACAAAAAATAGGTAAATTATGGCTGGATTAGTTCAAAGCATCATAAATTCACGCTGAGCATCCACGGCACTTTGCCTTGCTAAAGCTAAAGGAGCAAAGATGTCTACGAAATCATAGGTGTGAGAGTAAACTGAGTAAATAAAAATGCTCAGTGACAAATGTATGATAAGAGGTTGGTGTGCTAGGGAGGCATAGCAAATTAGATAAATAAATAAATAAATGCTCTTAAAAAAAGATGGTTATTTAAGGGTTCTTTACAAGAAAAAAAAAAAGAAGGTGCTATAAAGAACCATTAACATTCAAAGAACCCTTTTCATGATTAAAGGGTTCTTTGAATCATGAAAGGGTTCTTCAGATCGATGTAGACTGTGCTGAAGATAGTACTATATAGAACCTTTTTGAAAAGGGTTCTATATAGCTCCCAAAAGCGTTCTTCTATTGTTACAACCTTGACATTGTAACAACAGAAGAACCCTTTTGGGTGCTATATAGAACTCTTTTTAAAAAGGTTCTTTATAGAACCATCCACAACACGTGATAAAGAACCCTTTTGTGATGCAAAGAACTCTTTAATTAAGCAACGGGTTCTTTGAGTGTTCATGGCCCTCCTGCTTTAAGATGAACCTGTAGCTCTAAAAGCTCCACAAGCCCCCTCTCCGCTCTCAGTAGCCAAACTGCATTCCATGCTAAAAAACGGCAAAGCAGCCAAAGAAAATAACTAAAACAACTAAACAAAATCTCAAACTGTGATGGTGATGGATAAAACAATCACTCTTTAAACTGTTCGTTAAATTTGTCAAACCTTCAGCACCAACCTGAATCAGAACGCTGTATCTGAACTGCAGTAACAGGCACATTTAAAATGATGGGTAATTATAAAACCTAAACATTGTTGTTTTTAAGTAAGTAATCAAGTGCTCATTCAGAAACACCAATCAGTATTCAAAGCCTGTGAACTGCTGTTCAGGCAAGCCCTAGAAATAGCCACTGATGGACACTACGGATGGGCGATATGGTAGAAATGTTATATCATGATACCTCACGATATTTTCAATGTTATATATTGTAGTGCCATATTAGGGCTGGGCGATAAAACGATAACGATAATTATCGCGATATAACTTTTCCTCAATAGAGCGATACGACATGTTCGATAAATGTTCGATATAATACTCCATTCACACACTTCCATGTTCAGCGAAAGCCTTGGAGGCGTTTTCTACTGCAAGGAAAGCGACACTACTCTGTTGTCGCCAGGAGAGGGCGCACTTCCGAGTTTTTCCACATGATTAGAGAGGGAGGGGCCACGAGTAAGATGAGTCTTTAGCAACGGCTGAAACGCGGAGTTATACATTCCCTGTTTGAGTGGAACGACAGGCGATCTGTTCTCCTGTGACCGAGTCTGAGTGACGAGGTCAGTGGTGTAACTGTACTGACCTACAGTGAACTCACCTCTTTCTGTACATCCTAACCAGCTTTAGCAGCGTTAAATCACAATCCTCACAACTACAGCGCTGTTGCAGCGCTCGGACAGTCATATTTAAGTATGAGTGCATTCCCAAGCAACGAAAGTGAAAGAAAGAAGTGGGTTCATGTAAATTACAGCCCTGATTTAAACGACAGTAAACTGAGGAAGCTGTGAGGCATTGGAGAGCGGGAGAGCGCTAGCTTTCCAGGCTAGCTGTTTTTAGCAGCTGGCTAACTTAAAGCAGCGCTTCGTCATTCGCACAGCACGGCGAATTAATGATACTGTAGATCAAACACGACACAAAAGCACCGCTTTCAGTTTAAACGTACCTAAAAGTCGGACTCTGTTTGTCTGGTGTTGATATTTTGCGGTTCACCACTTAAACTACTACAATTGAATATCCAGTCGTCACTAGCTGCTGTCTGAATACTGTGATGTCGTTTGTAACGGGGTAGCCGAGCGCTCGGCACCAGCTAAAAATAATCTGTTTTCTTTCTTAAATTATGACTATTACAAAACAGCCGTGCTTTTCCAGCTGGTAAAAACAGCTCAGCAGACACTTTCTCCCACTCTCCCATGACAGATCTGAGAAATGTTCCACTGTTTGGTGAGTGTTTGTCGTGTTCAGACCATAAAGGATAGTTTAAAACAGCAGTTAACCCCCCAGGAGCAAAAATCAGCCTTCAAACTTGAAAGAAATAATGATTTGACATTTATTGCGGTATGTATCGATATCGAACGATATGAATTCTGTTTATCGTGATAACATTTTTAGCCATATCGCCCAGCTCTATGCCATATATAACAAACACTATAACAAAAATAATAAACATGAATACGAAAGCACAACAGAACTGTCCGTAGCCGTGGTCAGTGATAAACCAAGTTTATATCAAGTGAGTGAGTAAAATCTAACAATAAGTTAGCGAAGTCTAAAAAATGTTGAGTAAACACCACTTCAAATTTTAAAAGGAACCTAAATGTTTATGTGTTTACACTTCGCTAAATGTCCGGCTGTGGAGACAAACAAAACCAATAGAAATGACACTGATTTCTCCGGCTCATTTGTCAGCAGCTGACAGTCTATTTGCGCCGAGTATAAACAGTGTCCACTGTACGGCATCAATAACGTTAACTGTTGTTTGCATGTTCTCAGCAGACCTGAGACACATTTCCAGCTGCAGCAGCTGTTAATGTCCTCTAAGCTTTAACACTGCAGAAACGCACACTCTACTTTTCAGGCTTGAAATGCGTCCGTCTTGGTGTCATAGCCGCCAAATGTCCGGCAGGCAAAACAAAAAGCCCAATCAATCATGGAGCTGCTTTCCAGCCAGTCGTAAATTTCGTACCATTCTCCGCTAAAAGTCGCACATGCACTGGAAATGTAATTAATGGTTCATATTTCCCACTCGCAAAAAAGTTCACACCATTTTTTACTGCCAAGGACTGAATCTCACTGAGCTGACTGCTGTGGGCTGGGTTTTGAAGTATGGCTTAGATTTCTCTTAAAAAATCTTCACTGTTTTCTTATGTAGGCTATGTTGTATTTTACCCACGTACCATAAATGACGCGAGATACAGTCTGAATTCGTATTAACTGTTATTTCCATTATTAGTTTAGTCCGCTCAGAATGAGGAAAAATATCAAACCAAGCGTTTTAAAAAATTAACAAACAAGAACTAGAGGTGATGGTGGAAGAAACAGTCAACAGAAACAAAATCCTCACTGGGAAATATGATAATTGTGGGATGACGGATGAGGACGGGCAGGAGTAGCAAAGACAGCGTCCGTGAGAAATTTAGAGGCTATTGTAAGGTTAAGAAACCATTTAAGAACACAACATTTTCAAGAATAACACTTGTTCCTAAAATTATTCTTAAGGATAGAGTTAACAAAAAAATAAGAGAATTCTCAGGAAGTTCTTCGGAGAATAACAATTTCTCCTAACTTTTTTCTTAAGAATGTTCGATCCCTGGTGATGCTACAGCCGTCTGTGGCCGGGAGTCCAAGACAGCACAATTGGCCTCGCTCTCTCTGGGTGGGTAGGATGCCCCCCTTCTCCCCCCATCACTCACTCAGCGCGATGCTAGTCAGCGCAGGCGTCTGTTAGCTGACGTAACAGATCTGGCGGTTGGCCGTTTCCTCCGAGCGCGTTCGGCTGTCCAATGACGTTGCGTGAGCAGCAGTTCGAAAAGAAGCGGTGGCGCTTCACAGGTCTCGGAGGAAGCCTGTGTTAGCCTTCACCCTCCTAGCGCTGGTGGCATCGTGTGACTGGGGGAGTCCTAACTAATGGGTGGAATTGGAGACGACTAAATTGGGGAGAAAATTGGGTAAAAATAAAAAAATAAAAGATTTTTTTTCCTAAGACACTTTCGTGAATCCGGCCCCAGATTTTGACCTTATTAAGAAGTAACCGTCCAGCATATTGGTTGTTTTTCCATTTCCGCCACTGACACACATTTACTTTTCATACCTTTGACAGTGGCAGACAGCTACAGTGCCCGCAGAGTGTATGGTTGTATGCAAAAGTGAACACCCCTGATCAAACGATGCTTTGTTTATTTTCAGATAGTAAGTGAGGTAGTAAGATACAGTAAGTGGAGCTGATAAAATGGACCGTGAGTGTAGACACTAGTGTTGCACCCCTAGCGATACTGCTTCAGTACAGATGCTGATACTGGCACTTAAACACAGGATCGGTGATGGTGATGGGGATACAAATACATACATAAAAAAGATATTTTTTATTTACTTAAGTTGTTAAACATGATTCTTATTACTAATTATATAACAGTAAATACTTATTTCATACTGTAAATAAACAAAAATGAGTTTTCTTAAGCATCTAATAAATATCATCCAACAAAAATGCCATGTAGCCAAGCTAAGTGTGATTTTACCAAAACAAAATATTGTAAAAATGTAATTGTATAAATATCAGGAGTCATTGGTGAGTTAGGTTAGATAGAGTTAGTATTGGTATCGGTACTCAGCATCGGCCAATACTAAAGGATCAGGTATCGGTATCGGAATCAGAAGGGATAAAGTGGTATCGGTGCAGCTCTAGATATGAGGAGGTGTAATGTCGTAACAGGTGTAACTCTGGTATGTGTCTCACTCACCTGTCTTTTCCCGTCTCCCTCTTGAAGACGGTGTCGCAGTAGTTCATGCGCTCCTCCGTGGTGACGTAGATGCGGGCGTGGGGGTAGTTTTCGGCGGCCTGCCGCAGCATGTTGTAGACGATGCCCTTGCCGTCCTCCCTCATGTTGCGCAGTGGACCCCACACCACGTACACCGTCTCGTTGCCCTGGCCGAAGAAGTGCTGGGGCTTCTGCAGCAGCAGCGGCACGCTCGTGTGCGAGACCACCCGCAGGTCGGTGCGGCGCCCCACGTCCAGCTCGAAGCCGCGGGTTGGCGCGTTGTTCATCCGCCACACGCAGGATGCACGCTCAATCTCATGTCCCGCCTGCCGACCGAGCATCTGACCCGAACTGGACACCACGCTGCAGACATCACAGTGCAGCTTCAGAGGCTACAGGAGTGGAGAGAGAGAGAGACACGTCAACTAATGACATCATTCACACACGATGTGACATCATCACCATTTAAACGTTATGTTTTCAATGACATAAAGAAGAAGATGCGGCAGATGTGTAGAAAGGTGTAGAACATGAATGTTCTAATAGAATTAAACATTCATTAATACAGTTCTAATAAAATTCATATACAGAATGAAACTCTAATAACATTAATATTGAGAATTAAGCTCTAATAAAAGTATCTAGTATGAAATAAATAAAATTATTATCCAGAAAGAAGCTCTAATGAAATTATTTTCTCGAATGAAGTTCAAATAAAATTATTATCTAGAATGAAGTTCTAATGACACTATCCAGGCTTGTTGTTCTAATGAAACTGACATCCAGAATTAAGCTCTAATAAAATTACTATCCAGAATTAAGCTCTAATAAAAATTACTATCTAGAATTAAACTCTAATAAAATTATAATCTAGAATGAAACTCTGACAAAATTATTATCTAGAATGGAGCTCTAATAAAATTAATATCTAGAATTAAGCTCTAATGAAAGTATCTAGTACGAAGTTCTAATAAAATTATTATCTAGAACAAAGCTCTAATAAAATTAATATCTAGAATTAAACTCTAATAAAAAATATAATCTAGAATGAAACTCTGACAAAATTATTATCTAGAATGGAGCTCTAATAAAATTAATATCTAGAATTAAGCTCTAATGAAAGTATCTAGTACGAAGTTCTAATAAAATTATTATCTAGAACAAAGCTCTAATAAAATTAATATCTAGAATTAAACTCTAATAAAAAATATAATCTAGAATGAAACTCTGATAAAATTATTATCCAGAATGGGGCTCTAATAAAATTAATATCTAGAATAAAATTCTAATAAAATTATTATCCAGAAAGTTGTTCTAATGAAACTGGCATCCAGAATGAAGCTCTAACAAAATTACTATCCAGAATTAAGCTCTAATAAAAATTACTATCCAGAATTAAGCTCTAATAAAAATTACTATCTAGAATTAAACTCTAATAAAATGTTTATCTAGAATGAAACTCTGACAAAATTATTATCTAGAATGGAGCTCTAATAAAATGATCATCTAGAATGAAGTTATTATAAAATAATCTAGAATAAAGTTAAAATAAAAGTACTATCCAGCATGAAGTTGTAAAAAAGTAAACAATTGTCTAGAATGAAGTTCTAAAGAAAGGTTTATATGGAATAAAGTTCTAATAAAATAAATATCCTGAATTCTTTGGTAATCAAATCTCAAGACAAGACAAATCTGACAGGAAATTACTATAAACAGATATTTAAAATGTATTGTTTTTCTCTTAAAACACTTGAAAAACCGAATAAAGCATCTAAATAAGGTGTCGAGTTTCTAATATTTAAATGCTATTACTGAATAATACAGCATTTATAAATATGAGAGGTGACACTTTTGAAGAACAGGGTATCAGTGAGAGCTGAATGACAGCACACTGCACACACCAGCACAGCTACGGCGACTGCAGGGCACGGAGACACAGCGACACACAATGGATAATAAGATTATTTACATAATTACACTGAAAATACTCTGAATCACAAATATATATAAATAATTGATGAATCAACTGTGCATAATGCATAAGGACCAGTTAACCATCACTGAAGCAGAACTGGGCGCTCGTTTAGGTCTGCTGAATATTCCAGCATCTGAGTAATACAGACAGGTCATTTCATTTCTGTTATTTTATATACATTAATAACATACAGTGTAGGTTTAAACAAACTACATCTTTCTACATCAATATGAACATATTAAATAATAAATAATATCTTATAATGATCTATTTAAGGCAACAGCTATTATGCTATCTTTCACATGATACAACCACCACTTTTAAAAATACAAGACATACTGAATATTAATTTTAATTAGAACTTCACGTTAGATATTCAGTTTATTGGAACTTTATTCTGGATATTAATTTAATTATTGCTTCTTTCTAAATATTTATCATGTTAGAATTTCATAGCAATCTTCCTCAATTTATTAATCTATGCTTTCTTGGTACTGGCTTTACGGGTCACAGTTTTTAAACTAGAACCACAAACCTTTGGAGGATCCTAGAGCCCATATGACAACCACCTGGGATACCACAGCAATGGCCTAGCAAATCCTTAGCAACCACCTGGAATGCTACAGCACAGGCCTATCAACACATTAGCAACGGCCTGAGATAACACTGCAACAGTCTAGCAACATTTTAACAACCACCTGGGATACCCTAGCAATGCCCTAGCAACACCTTAGCAACCACTTGGGATAACATAACACCAGACTGGCAACACATTAACAACCACCTGGGATAATATAGCAACATCTTAGCAATCACCTATGTTCACTCACAAACGTTTAGCATCTCCTGCTTCTCACGATCCCAAAGTAATCCCCAACACATTCAGTGATGTTGAGGTCTGGACTCTGGGGTGGTCAGTCCATTGTTCAGCTTCTTTGTTTGATGTGTTCGTCTCCTTTTCTCAGTGAGGTTCTTCTTGATCAGCTACACATCCTTTCAGACCCACAGCGCTGAGTCGTCTTCTCACAGTGGAAGGATGGACAGAAACACCTGTGGACGTTTTCAGATCTGAAGCAGCTTGATTTTCTCCTCTCTCTCAGAGATGAAAGCTTTAAGTGCTGTTTATCTGATGGGGACAGTTTTGGTGTCTACCAGGTCTTCCAGGTGGTTGTTAGGAGGCACATTTTCTTTGTAACTCATTTTTTGAACTCCAACTTTTGCTCTTTTCACTCATTTTCTTATATCTAATGTCATAATATCTAAAAATAAATATTGGAAATACTTTTGGAATAACCTTTGCACAGTACTGTACACAGTGTATATAAAATATATAATGTCCACTATAGGTGTACAGGAAGGCTAACCAACAGATGCACCAACATATGAGCTACAGTCTCTAACTGTACTCTGGTAAGGTGGAGCTACAAAAGAGGGGTTTCCAATAAAGTGTCCGGCGCATGCATTTCGCAGTAATACATTCTAAAGCCAAAGTAGAACTGCAATGATGACAAAGCCTTATTTGAAACACAAGCTAGAACACATTCTCTCTCTTAATCATGACTTTCCAATCTTTCTGAATGACGCCAAACATCAGCAGCGACTCTTCTGCACGTATTATGTGAAGCATTGTTGAGCGATTTCTTTACTGCAGTTTGTAGGCGCCAAAGACAGCTGTCCCATCAGCTTGGGAGTGGATTTTGTGCAAACCTTGAATAATTAGCCTGCTAAGCTCCAATAAAGAGAAGAAAATCCTCCCCCTGAAAGTCCACCAGCCATCTCGTCCAAACAGGCAGTGAAGCTAATTGGAGGCAGCGAGAGGACAGACCGCTGTCATTCCGCGCCAACAAAGCGCTCCGCTATGCTAACCGAGGCGACATCAGCCGTCGTCCGAGCGGCAGTATCATTTCCATCACCGCGCTCTCTCGATTTAGGTGGCTAATGTAGCAGACGGGTGCGCAACGCTATCAGAACGCCCCTCCCTACAAATTACAGCTTGTTCGTCCTGCTTGGCTGGTCAGTGGAATTGGGAGACTAACTGCCACCACGCCAGGATAATAGAGGCAATCGATACCATATGACTGACCAGCAGCCTGAGAACGGATAGGAAGACATCTCCCTCACGCCTCTCTGTGTGTTGTTACTGATGTTTATCTGCTCCAGTGATGAGACCTGATAACATCACGTCCATTTATCGACCACAAGTGCGAAAACAGCATTTCAATGTGGGTCTTGTGGTATCAAAAAAGTTGTTGTATAATAAATGCATTCACCTCTTTTCATAGTCGCCATCTGTCCTCATCTATGCTTTTTTGTCTTCAATAATACTGATGTGGTACACTATATGGTCAAAAGTATGTGGACACCTGACTATCACACCTACAGGAGCTTGTCGGACATCCGATTCCAAAACCATGGGCATGGATATGGAGTTTGCCCGCATTTGTGGCAGCCTAACACTCTTCTGGGAAGCTTTCCACAAGATTGTGGAGAATGTCTGTGGGAATTTGTGGCCAGTCAGTCAAAAGGCATTTGTGAGATCAGGCACTGATGTTGGACGAGAAGGCCTGGCTCACAGTCGATGCTCCAGCTCATCCCCAAGGTGTTCAGTGGTGTTGAGGTCAGGGCTCGGTGTGGGCCACTGTAACATCCCCATATCAAACTCAGGCCTTCACCAAACTGACACCAAGTTGGAAGCATGTAATTGCCTAAAATGTATTTACATGCTGTGGCATTAACATCACCCTGCACTGGAATTAAGAGGCCTGAAGAACAACCCCAGCCCATTATCCCTCCTCCACCAAACTTGACTGTTGGCACTATGCAGTCTGGTCAGTAGTGTTCTCCTGGCATCCACCAAACTCTAATTCGTCCATCAAACTGCCAGATAGTGAAGCATGATTCATCGCTCCAGGGCGTGTTTCCATTGCTATAAAGTCCAGTGGTGGTGTGCTTTACACCTCTCCAGCTGACACTTGGCATTGCGCATAGTGATCTTAGGCTTGTTTGCAGCTGCTCAGAAATGGAAACCCAATTCATGAAGCTCCTGATGCACAGTTCTTGCGCTGATGTTGCTTCCTTAGGCAGTTTGGAACTCTGTAGTGAGCGATGCAACAGGAAATAGGTGATTTTAACGTGCTATGCGCTTCAGCACTCGGTGGCCCGGCTCTGTGAGTATGTGTGGTCTAATGTTTTCGACTGAGCTGTTGTTGCTTCTAGACGCTTCCATTTAACAATAATAGCACTTACAGTTGACTGGGGCAGATCTAGCAGGGCAGCAATTTCACAAACTGTCTTGTAGCAAAGGTGGTTTCCTATGACAGTGCCATGTTTAAAGTCACTGAGCCCTTCAGTACGATCTATTCTACTGCTAATGTTTGTCTATGGAGGTTGCATGGCTATGTGCTTGATTTCATACAC